TACGTCTGACATGTAAGATTTTTTTTTGGCCTTTGGATATACACTTTTGCCAGTGCCACTTGTTTAAAAGACCATCAATCATCTACTGAATTTTTTTTTGCACCTAAGCTGGGTGGGCACATTTTTATAGAACTATTTCTGTATTCTCCATTCTGCTCCATTGATCCACCAATACCAAACATTCTTGATCACTGGTCCTGTATAAAGCTTGAAATAAGATACACTGCTGCCTTTCACTTTATTCTTTTTCAAAGTTATTTTAACTGTTCTACTTCCTTTGCCTATCCATATAGATTTTAGAACCTGTTTGTCAAAACTCCAATAAACCTTGCTAGAATCAAAAACCAAATCTATTTTTCTTAAAGATATATACCCTATTATTAATTTCAGTAATCTAGCTATTAAAACATTAGCTAAGAAGTTAGGTTATTGATCTGATGCATTGCATCTTTCATAATGTATATATTTAGTGCTATACTTTATTTGAGCGATAGCCCACAAATTTTGAAATGTTCCACTTTTATTTTAATTTAGTTAAGTGCATTATTTTTATTTCTCTGAGACTTTCATTTTGATCAATAGATGATTCAGAATTATTTAGTTTACAGGTGTTTGAAATTTTTCCCATTCTGTTTCTGATATCTAGTTTTATTATATTTTGGTCAGAAAACAGTATAATTTTAATCAATTTTTTTTTTTTTTTTGGTACCAGGAATTGAACTCAGGACCTTGCATTTGCTAGGCAGGCGCTTATGCCACTGAGCTATATCCCCAGCCCAAGCAGTATAATTTTCATTCTCACACGGACTAAGATTAATTTATCATTCATTACATGCTCTATCTTAGTATATGATCCATGGGCAGTGAACAAAAATGTTTATTTTCCTATTGTTTGGATCAGTATTGTAAAGATGTAGTCTAGGTCCTGGCGGCTGATATGTCATTTTTCTGTGTCTTTGGGGATTCTTTGTGTAGCTGTTTTTTGTTTGTTGCAGTACTGGGAACTAAATCCAAAGCCTCTGCACTGGGCTACATCCCTAGACACTCTCCACCCTTTTTAAATTCTGAGATAAGGATGGTCTCACTAAGTTGCTAGTTTGGCCAGGCTAAGACAGAAAGTACAGTCTGCCTGCCTCAGCTTCCCAGAGCTCTGGGGATACTGGCATGTACCATCATGCCCAGCTTTTCTTTAGTTTTTTAATCAATAGTTGAAAAGAGGGAGGTGTTACAGTCTCACTATTATTTTGGATTTGAATATTTCTCTTTTCAGTATTTATTTCACATATTTTATAGCTCTATTTGGTAATACACATTTACAGTTGTTTTGACTTTTTTTTTTTGTTTTGTTTTGTTTTTTGGTTTTTCTCTGGTACCAGGAACCGAACTCACGACCTTGCGCTTGCCAGGCAGGCGCTTTGCCGCTGAGCTAAATCCCCAGCCCCCTTGTTTTGACTTCTTGATGAGTAAATTCTTTGATCATATTATAAAGTCTCTTGTCCTTTAGATAATTTTTTTGGCTTTGAAATGTACTTTATCTGACATTAATATAGCCACTCCTAATTTCTCTTGACTAATATGTGCATGATATATTTTTCATACTTTATTTTCATTTGCCTACATTTTCATAATAGAAATGAACTTCTTACAAACTACACATAGGTCATGTATTTTTTTTCTTTTCCGGTACTGGGGATCAAACTCACGACCTTCTGCTTGCCAGGCAGGCGCCATGCCACTGAACTAAATCCCCAGCCCCTAGGTCATGTTTTTAATCCACCTGTCTAATCTCTGTCTTTCAACTGTTTATTTAGACCATTTATACTTAATGTAGCTACTGCTATGTTGGCTTCAAGTCTGCTATTTTATTTTTTGTTTTACTTTGTTTCTGTATTTACTTTTACCTAACTTCCTATGGGTTAATGAACATTTTTTAAAGTACTATTTTATCTACAGTGTTTTATTTGGGTCTTGTTTTGCAGTAGGGGACTGAACCTAGGGTAGAACCTCAAGTGACAAATTATTTTCATTTTCCTTCATCTAAGAATGTCTTGATTGATTTCTCCTTAACTCCTGAGGGATAAATCTCTACATACAATTCTGAATGGATAGTTCTTTTCTTTCAGCACTTCAAAAATGCTGTGTCAATTACTTATGATCTACATGATTTCTGATGAGAAATCCTTTGTTATTCAAACTCTTTTTCAATGTAAATAGCATTTTCTCTCTACTTTCAAGGTTTTCCTTTGACTTTAATTTTTAAAAGTGTAATGCTGTATGTTTGGGTATGAATTTCTTAGATTTTGGATTCACTTAGGTTTTAAATCAGTAGGTTTATGTCTCATGCCAAATTTGAGAAGTTTTTATCCCTTATTTCTTTCAGGACTTTTTCAGTCATGCCTTCCTTATCTTCTTTCTTCTCCTTTTGTTATATTTCCATGGGTCTCAGTCTAGTGGCTGATTTTCACCTTGGATAAGCTATGTTATTCTATCTTCAAGTCCACTGATTATACCCAATAGCTTTTCCATTCAATTTTGGAATCCATCTAGTTTTTATTTTGGTTATTGTGTTTTCAGCTTGAATTATTTCCTTTGGTTCTTCTGAGACTTTTACTTCTTTGTTCATATTTTATATTTTTTCATTTGTTTCAAAGATGTTCGTAATTGTTTGCTGAAGCATTCTGAGTAATGCTTTAAAATCTTTGGTAATTTCAGCATCTCTGTTTATTGATTTTTTTTTCTCTTTGTTCTACTAGGTATGGAACTTAGGACTTTGTGTGTCCTAGGCATATACTCCACCTACTGACCAGCATTCCCAGACTGATTTTATTTTCTTCTTTCAAATTAAGGTATTCTTGGTTCTTGGCATGACAAGTGATTTTTCTACTGAATCCTGGACATTTTTGGTATTATACAAGTCTAGATCTTATTTAAGCTGGCTTTCTCTAATACTATTCTAACAAGGCAATGGAGGGGTTGTGTTACTACTGCCAGGTAGGTGTAGTGGTCCAAGATTCATATCCTCTACTGGGCCCATTAGTGGGGCTTCTTGGTTTCTGCTGAATGGGAATATGAGTTCTGATTCACCACTAGGCTTCAGCTGACACCATGCTGCTTAGAAGAAAAAGGAGTATTTCATTACTGTTCTCTATATGGTATCCAGTGACACCTCAAGGAGTGTAGAAAGGATGGCCTTTTTACTGTTGGCCAGTGTTGAAAATCTGGATGTTATGCTGACATTACCCATTTTTGAAACAGGTAACTGAAACACCAAAAAACACTAGACTAAAGAAAAATCAATATTTCTGGTAGAAGAGTACAGTTCACTGGTCCAATAGTCATTATTCAGCTGACACTCTTCCTTCATATGCCTCTAGTTCCACTTTCGTCCTTCAAAATGTGTTCTTTCCCATAGGGCCCTCCCCTGAAATACAACAGGACTCCTGGGATATTTTCTAATTCCAGCTTCTGTTCATATCAAGTACCTCAACCATACCGCAATGTGCTAGGCCCATTCTTAGGGGACTGAGGCCTTGTCTTTGCTAAGGCTCCTTCTAAGGGAAGGAGGCTAAGGCTCTTTTAATGGAATCCTTGGTTCCTTTTTCAATTAGATTGGCAGAAATCTAATGAGAATACTCATTTTTGAAATGGCTCAGACAGGTTCATTTTGTTCACTGGCTGAGGAGAGATGTGAGTCTTAATTCACAGTATTTGTAATATTTTACCCACGAACACAGTCAAAGACGACACTGGAGACTCTCTGGCTCATGTGCGTTTTTGTTTCCCTTCGTGACAGCATTCCTTAAATCACAGCCAAGCATGTACTGTGGGGCTGAAACTATTTTAAATACACAATGTCAGCGGTGGTATTCTGTGTTCTAACAAGAGATTTGGAGCCACAGCCAAGAACAGTAATAGAATCTTCTTCCCTCTTACTGTCATTCCCATTGTTATTTCAAAAAGACTTTCCCTTCTCTTCCTCCCCCTCACCTCTCCTTTCTCTCCTGCTGCCTTTTTTCTTTCAGTGTCCCCACCAAAGTCTATATAATGGGCAAAATATCTTAAGCTTAAATATGACCCTATCTAGCTTTGCCTCCTGTGGGGGCCATATCAAAGCCAACAAATAAACTTTCCTGGGCATAACTCCAAGCTAGTCTTTGGGGTGAGACTGACTGGGAGGAATCCTAGCTCTGTCATGCATTAGCTGTAGGACACTGTGCCAATTCTTTAGCCTTGCCAAAGCTAAAAGACCTCCTAATTTCCTTTCACCTTGTCTGAAATTCTGTATTGCTGCTATTGTTTGGGTGTTGTTTTGTTTATGTCTGTTTGTTTGTGAATGTGTTTTCGTTCTTTTCTCTTTAAAATAAAAAAAACTTTTATTGATATTTGTCTACCTGATGTGGTTGTTGATGGGATAAAAATAAAGTTCGTCCCACACTAAGAGGCACTTCTAAGTCTAACTGGCAAAGGTCCAGAAAATTCATTTTTGCTTAAGTACAACACAATCACTGATTGCGCCACTGGTGTCTCAGAAAACAATTTTTGAAATGCTTCAAGACAACTGTTTCAACTGAAAATATTATACAATTCTTACAAATTAAATTTTTAATAGTAAAAACACCGATCTCAATATATAAATTCGCCTTTACTGTAACTCAAACTGAAGGCAAACAAGGGGGAAAGTGAATTTCTCACATAAAACGCCTGCTGTTATTTCCATACTAAATGACCACAGTCTTTGAAAGGAAAGGCTAGTGGGGTCTTCAGCCAATGTTCTCTGAACCCGTTTCTGGAATATCCTCAATGGCCCGTTTTGGAAAGAAGTCACATTACTCCCTAAGGGAAATTAAAAATTCAAATAAAATACAAAGAAGTTCGATAACATCACGGGGTTTTCTGTTACAGCACACCATATCCACTGAAAAATTATGTAAGTGAAATTACACGCGCGTGCACGCACACACACTTGCCACAAGCAGCATGCTCTCCTCTGCTTCACTTACTTCCATTCTAATGTCGTAGTTCTGGCCCAGGACGCTCTCTATGAGCTCTCTGATGGCCTGGTCGGAGGCCAGCTGGTCCTCGGACTGCAGCGAGGCGATGATCTCCTGGATGGACCTGGGGGCGGCGCGCGTGCGCAGTGCAGCCAGCCGGGCGTCCTCGCCGTTGTCGCGCGCCGCTCTGGACGCGGCCCCGGGGGGCGCCGAGC